TGGGATAGAAAGAGAAACAAATTTTGTTTCACTATTAATAAACAATTTCATTATTTCATTTCCTATAATAGATTTTTTAGACATTTCAAAATTTTTTACAAAAACATTTTCCATTATATTTTCTAGGACATATAAATTTAAATGCCTCCAAAAACTAATATAATTAAATAAAGGTCGTTGATATATTTCTTTAAAAAGATCAATTCCTTGATACTTTAAATTATTTCTTGATTCTTCTGATAAATGTGAAAGTATTACATTAAATAGAATATTGCATACTTTATAGGATATGTAACCTTTCTTATTAGAAGGATTCTGCCATAAAATTGGCACTGTCAATCTACACCAAGTTCTATTGATTAAAAGACATGAATATAAAGATTTTGTATCGTCTTGTAATTCTTTCAATATTAGTACAATTATGTCATTGCATAGCCATAACATTTTTTCTGACATTTTTTTTTCAAAGGAAAGAAAATGACGGATGGCGTAAAAAATGTGTACGACTATTAATTATTTACTTATTAATAAGGATCTGATTTGATTTAGACAAATTAAGTAAGGCCGTATGTACAATTTTATTATGGTACTCGAGGACTTGCTTTTTCGGTTAGTCAAAATCCTATTTGTCACACATTATTGTTTCATGTGATCACGTGTTGGTCGATGTCAAATTAGTGAAATCTATTTATAGACGGGACGAAAATGAAATATACCGTGATTACCGTCATGCATATCTTATAATTGTTTTTCGGTTTTTTTAATAATACTGTACTAGTAAATGAAAAATTCAAATATAAAATTATTAAGATTACGCTACTTAATAAAATTTATTTGAACGTCATATGATAATACCCAAGATATAGTAAATAATTTATTTAATATATACAACTTCTTGTTATATAAATATATAACAGAATTAAATAAATAACATATACCCTATATTATTAAATAAAGAATTTTTTAATAAAGAATTTAGTTAGTTTAAATTATATGTAAATATTATATGAATATGATAGACGGAATTACTTACGATCTAAAATATTTGAATAATTTTTTAAATAAAATGTAAGTATTATATAAATATAATAGAATTAAATAAATAACCTATAACTTAAAAGAAAAAAATTACAAAATAATTATTTAAATAAAGAATTTAGTTAGTTTAAATTATATGCAAATATTGTATAAATATAATAATAGAATTACTTACTATCTAAAATATTTGAATAATATTTTTAAATAAAGAATTTAGTTAGTTTAAATTATATATAAATATTATAATATTATATAAATATAATAGAATTAAGTAAATAACATACTCCCTATATTATTAAATAAATAATTTTTTAAAGAATTTAGTTGGTTTAAATTATATGTAAATATTATATAAATATTATAGATTATGTAAATAACTTACACCCTGTAGTATTATTAATTATTAATTATTAAGTATAATAATTATGAAGTAAAGTAATTATAATTAATTAGATAAAATATTATAATTGTTGTATATAAGAATTAAGTATATACATTAACTTACAATCTAATTATTTAAATAAATATTATTATTAGTCGTAATCATTAACAAGAAAATTTAGTTATTTAAATATCATGTAAAATACAATAAAAAAAAAATAGCTATTAACTTACTAACTATAATAATATTAATAATAAAATAAATTATTTGGTTATATAAAATAATAGAAGTAAGTAATTTAATTATCATTCCGATTATAATATAACCTATTACTTACGAGCTAATATAGTAAAATAATTTTTAGAAATAGTTTAAAAATTTTAAATTATATGTTTATAATTTACAAGCTGTTTAATAATTTTCTTACCTTTATCTTTCTCAAATTTTGAAACTAGTTTCATTATATTGCAAATTTGGTTTGAAAAAAATTTTAGAGCAATTTCATTTTTTATTAGATACCTATATTCATATTATATGTTTTTACCTTCATCGTTACTTTGAGTACTTTGAGCCATTACTAATAATTTTATTGGAATTCTTCCTAAAAAATAGGGTGAAGCAAAATGTAGATACCAATTTTCAGGTTTTAGTTCCAGATAGGCGTTAAAGTATGGCAAGCCGACTAAACTATCAGGTATTGGGTGGGTGATAAATCAAGCATGGATTGACAAAATGTTACACCGTGCCTGACATTTTACCTGTTCATACTTTAGTACTTGATCTTCATCTTTCCGTGCTTGATATTTATCTGTACGTGCTTGATGGTTTTATCCGACCATGCTTGACAATTTTATCCGTCCATGCTTGACAATTTTATCCGTCCGTGCTTTATGTTTTTATTCATCCGTGCTTGATATTTTTGTCCGTCTGTGCTTGATGTTTTTGTCCAACCGTGTTTGATTTAATCCAACTATACTCGATAATTTTATCTTTGTCAAAAATTAGTTTCTTTGTCAGCACAGGGTTGATATTTTGTCGGTCACATGTTTTTAAGTTTAGCGTAGTTTTAAAAAAATTTTTTTTTTTTATTGGCTTTTTTTTTTTATAAAACAAATTTTGTAGAGAATTAGAATTTTTATTTTTAATATAGGCAAAGGCTTTGTTTGATAGAATTTCTTTGGGAATTTTTTTAATAAAAAGATTTTTTTTGATAAAAAATTTCGTTAGAAAATTTTAGTTTTTTTTTGATGGATAATACTTTTATTTAATAGAAATTTCATTGGAGAAATTTTTTTTAATAAGGTATTTTTTTTTTGACATACTTAATTTGTTGGAACAATTTTTTTTAACAGGAGAGATTTTTTTTTGATAGAGAATTCATTGAGAATTTTTTTTTTATTGTAGAAAATTATTTGAAGAATTTTTTTAATAGGGAAGATTTTTTTTTTGATAGATGATTTCGTTAGAAAATTTTTTTAACAAGTGAGATTTTTTTTTTGATAGAGAATTTCGTTAAGAATTTTTTTTTAATAGGAGGGAGTTTTCCTTGATAAAGAATTTCTTTTGGGAATTTTTTTTT